CTAAATCAAAAAATCACAAAACAAAAAGAACCCTTGGGCGAGATCTGTGATCTGGTTTTGTGGATCTAGAAAAGCGTAGAACAGTTGCCAAGGCCAACAGCCCACGGCGGTGGGTAACTCGTTTTCCCGTGTAATTAGATGCACTCCTCCCTATTCTGATTAGCATATATATATATGTATATATATATAAAGCCCCGAACCCGATCGTCAGCTGTTCCGGCTGTTCAGGGGATCCTCTCGATCGGCCCACGAGGAGCACTACTACAAGTTTTCCCCTCAAGATAAGATCCGTTTGTTATTTCGTTTGTTTACGTGCCACTTGGATAGAGATAGAGATACAACCACATAGATACAGATACAAGTAACAGGTGTTATTCGCTAATTGAAATAATTGCCTCAATGGCAACGTAATAATATTAACAGTAATATAAATAAATAGGTTAAAAGTAAATTTAAATGTAAAAAATAATAAAAAAATACTGTTAGGTATTTATTTATTCATTATTTATATTTATGTTTACTTTATTAAATATTTATTAAAAAAATATTATGAACGAATGTTAAAAGATATGCATGTAATATTATTTTTGGAACCAAAAAAGTACCTTATGGGTTTTCTAAAACTTTAATAAATTCAAAATTATTGTCAATATGTCTTTAATGGTTGTTTATTCAAAATCTAACACATTTATACTTCTTAAAACCTTGAGAGACAAATACAAAACCTTTCTAGATAATTTTATAAGTCTTTAAAAATCCTCAGAGCTTCTTGAATTTTGTTTTAAATATGCGAAACTTTAAAAATTTTATTATATACATTTTTACAAACCTAAAACATATGCTAAAAACTTTTTTCTTTACAAATTAAATACTTGACCCCGTTCCCAGGCATTCGAAGAAAGCGTAACTATAATAACGGCAATTATTATCGCCGATATATTGATTTATGGGGGTGGGGCTGCCCTCAACATAGTCCCTATCTCAGCCTAATACCCTTTAATAATATATTTATAAACCTAATTCCCCTATAAGAATCGATGACTGTATTTCAAGACGTTTCTACAGTTACTAACTGTTATGCAAAAGGTGACAGGAAAAAAAGGTTAAACTGTGCGAAAGTGTGAAAGTTAATATGCGAAGAAGAGAGAGAAACACAAAAGAAAAAAGGGGGAAGAATCTGAGATATGTAGCCTCGCAGATTCTTCTGTTCGGTGGATCTTTTTTTTCATGTCGAAATGACAGAAGGAATTACCTCAGGTAAAGAAAAAGATTTTTTTCTTATTCTTTCTCTCGATTTTTTGCCGAATTCTTCTTGTTGGTGTAGTTGTTGTTGTTGTCGTTGTTGATTGGAGTTGAAGTTGGAGTTATTTCTCCTTTGCTGCTTTTGTTGTTGTTGTTGAACCGGCAAGAAAAGGCACGTAAAAAAACACTTGATGGCAAAAAAAAAAATAGGTGTGACTAATCCTTGTCCTCTTTCTACTTTTTTTTATATTATTCGATTTTCGTTATTTTTAATAAATAAATAAATATTTGTAGCGCAAGAAAAAAAATAAAGTTATTGTTGCTTTTGCTTAACGTTTTTTTTTTTTTCGTATATATTTTTTTCACCGAGCGTCGACACGTTGCAATCGATCGAGGCACCAAAATCAGACTGAAGTTTCCAATCAGAATCACAAAGCCGCCTAAAGTGGCTGCCAGCTTAGACGCCGGCAGCGACGCCGGCAGCGACGCCAGCAGCGCAGCGAGCAGTGAAGCGGGCAGCGAGCCGAGATATGACCGAATACGAAAAAACGGCAAATAAACGAAGATGACGCGACCGGCGACACGGGGCACAGTGGTACAAAAATAATTAATAGCAACTCAAATTTAATAGAATTTTAACTTTAATTTTTAATTAAAATAATATTAAAATTTATAGAAAACATTTTTGAATTAACCTGGAATTTGTCACTAAAAAGTATCAATAAAAGAAATTCAACTTCACAAAATAAGGTTACCATTTCAGAATAACATTTTTACCTATTGTATCCTATAGATCTTGTATCTGGTATTAATATTTATCAATTCCAATAGAAAACATAAAATAGGTAATCAAAAAATGTTAAAGGGCTTCTAAACCACTTCCTGCCTTTCTGGACAAATGAAATATTTAACTTATTTCATTATTTATTTACTTAACCTGCGGACATGGCTCATCCGTCGCTGTGAATTGCATTGGAACGTGTTCGATTTTGATTTTAAGGCTTTTGATAAATCACCCATCGAGGTGGGCGTCATTGTTGCAGTAATAGTTATTAACAATGTTAATAATAGACACCTATTTTCACTGAGACTATTTTTGGCCTAACTGCTGCCCACCATTCTTTGTGGCTTAACAAAAAAATAAAAAAAAAAAATTACTCATCGCTGGCGTTGGCGCAGACGTTGCGCAGACGCAGACTTGGTCGTGACCAGCGGACCGCCCGACCCACTGTAATGTCTGGTCCCGGTCTGTGGCATCCACTGTACGGTGGCCGCCACTTGCTACATTTGGCCATTTGCCATACGCGGGTGTCTCCGACTTTAATTTTTTATTTATTTTATTTATTTATTTGCTGCCTTAGTCTCCCGTGTGTGCCAGTTCAACTTTGGCTCATTGATTTATTCCGCAGTCGATGGCTGGACCGACCCACGCGTTTCTTTTTGGCTGTCTGTCTGGCGGTATCGAATCAAATCGAATCGAATCGAATCGAACCGAATTGAATCGAATCAAGCAGAATCGAAGCAGCGGCAGTCTCAGGGCCAAGAGCCAGCCAACGCTCTCGTTTGATCCATTTGGTCAGGTTCTAGAGCCAACTAAGCCCAGGGATGTTAAATTTCATAAATTGCCAGCTTTAAAATTATAAAATATTTAAGAAACTATAAAATATGAATAAATATTTTAGAAATATTTATTTATATATTTTATAAAGCTCCAAATACTCTAGCTTTGGGTCTAAATACTAAAAATGACAAAACCTAGATGCAGCTTCAAAAAAAATCGAAGATTTCGAATCTTTTCAAGCTCAATTAGATAAAAAAATAAATTAATTAACTAAGAAAAGAAATAGTTAAATAGAAAATGTATGAATAAAAAAAAAATAACCCCTAATTAATTATTTAAACATTTTCAAGCAATTATAGATATTTCTAATTATAATAACTTTTTAGTTCAGATAAGATAAGAAATTGTTTTGAAATTGCTTTCGGGAGATAAGATTCGCTTGTCTTTTAACCATAGGAAGTAAATATTAAATTAAAAGTATTAATTTTTCTGATTAGGTAATGTTGTATATTTATAAACTTGAGATAAGAATAGACATTAAGCTAAGCTATAGAAAAAATCGTAGTTTTAGAACTATGTCTAATGTCTATATTGTTTAACGTGAGAGGTTATGCTTCAGCTTTGTATTATTTTCAGGTGTTCTTTATGGGAAATCTTGGTTTTTTAAATAAATAATAAACTGTTGAATAAAAAAATTATTTTTTTTAATTTTAGCTGTATTATTTATTTTTAAATTTATTTTAAAGCTTAGCTTAGCATCCCTGCCTAACAGGCTATGTATGGCGTCATCGCCAGTGGCAGGAGAGGCAAAAGGAGATAAGATGTAGACAGAAGAAAGATGCTGGAGAAAGGAGAAGGAGCAGCAAAGGAGAACAGCAGAGAGGAAGGAGAGAGAGAGAGAGAGAGAGAGAGAGAGAGAGAGAGGGAGAGAGGAGCAGGAGATGAAGGAGGCCAGCAGCGGTCAGCGGAGCTCAGAGGCCAAAAGCTGAAATTGATTCATGGCCAATGAGTCATCGTTGGCTTTATCAGTCGAACGGTCGGTGCCGCAGCATCCCAATTTGTCGATGCTGCTGCTATCCCCTGTCCCTGTCTCTCCTTTATCTCCTGTCTCTTTCTGTAGCTAAAGCAGCGACGCAACTGCGTGGGTCGAAGATCGTCTGCTTTTGCTGCTTCATCTTTCGTCTGTTACTCTAACAGAAGGTATTTAACATTATAGATAAATTAAAAAAAAAATACCTTAAATTCATAATTATTTTAAACCTTTAAATTGAAAGCTGTATAATTTTTAATGGTTTTTGGGAATTCTTTTTGAAGAAATTATATTAGAAATCATTGCTGATTTAAAATTCCTTCAAAAAATGTATGTGGAAAAAATTCAAATCAAATTTTTGACGATATTCTTCTCTGTATATATATATATTAAATAATTAAAGGGTATTCTCCTATTCGATACTTAAACATCTGCCTCACTGTTATTCTTCATTAATGCAGTTAGATAGATCATTTTCTTTTTCTGTTGTTTTTTCTTTCGTTTTTTATTTTTCGGCTCGACATCGTCATCGTCATCGTTTTTTCATTGATTTTTCTAACGACTTTTTAACGATTATTGCAAATGTCTGAGTCAAGTCAGCGACTAGCGGCCCACGCGTTAGCCGGGTACAGTAAGGCAACCCCATAAATGACCCAATTTGGTCAGGTTGAACTGGGTGACTGACTGACTGACTGACTAACCAATGGATATATGTATGGACATCCCCTCTGGCCAGTTCTCGGACCAAGTTCCAGGGCTTTAAAGGCAATTCCACTGGCCAATTGGGCTTTGTAAAAAGGGGACAAGACAAGTCCATCAAGGAGTCAATGAACTGACACAACAGATATGTTATCCATAATTTATGTCAGAAATAATAATTATTTTAAATGAAATACTAAGTACTTAGTTTTAAGTGCTCGTAAGATTTATTTTAATTATTGAAAAAAAATGCCACATATTTTTAAACAATTTATAAGCTATTTAAAAGTCTGTCAAGATTTGTCTAAGTAACATTTTTTTTGTCACACTTTTTAAACTATATTTCAAATGATTTCAAACCAAATATATAATAAAAATATTTTTTAAATATTTTGAAATATTTCCCACAATTTCTTATATATAAAATAAATATATATAGGTATAATAAATTTAAAATTCCAAACTTACCATTTTCCTCAACAATTCCTCATTCTGAATTTCACCCAAATCGCATTCCACTTCCATGGCAAAAGATACTGAAAAATATAGAGAATAAAAATTATTAGTTTTTCAAAATATTACCAATCAGATAATGAAAGTTTTAGTTTTTTTAACGATGATGCAACTAATTTTCGTTGCACATTATTCCCATGCTGATTTATTTGATAATGTGTCGCTGGTGTTAAGTAATATATGTATATATAGCTGTCTGCCATCGATCATGATCAGTGTTATGGGCACTGCGAACGAGGCGAGCCAGAATCGGCTAGAGGCTATAGAGACCATAGAGTCTGGTTCGGGCCAGAATCGGTAAGAATCGGCCAGCGAGTTGTGACATTTGCCCCGTAAATGGTTACAATCGAACATGGAGTGTGTGAGTTGCATGTACTGTAAATAAAAACTTGCATAAAGTGCAACAATACTAATTTACACTTAAAACAAATATAACTTCTTTTTATAAGGAATGATTTTAATGAAAATCTGACAAGGTTCTTGACATTCCTTGATCTCTTTTTATACCCTTGCAGACCATTATTATTTTGATCAAAAGCTTGTAATGCTGGAAGGAGTCATTTCCGACCCTATAAACCATATATATTCTTAATCAGCATCAAAAGCCGAGACGATCTAGCTATGTTTCATAAAAATTAATTTTTTTTTAAATTTTGAAAATTTTTTAAGGGGTTTCATCGTTAAAATTGGGGAAAAAAATTATAAAAAATTTAAATTTTTGAAAATTATAAACTGAGTATGCAGATTTATTAACGTAACAAAAACTAACATGGGACAGCTTTCTGAACTTAAATTAATGAATTTTTGACTTAGTTACGAGTTTTTAAACTTTGATTTGTCGAAAAAATTGCATATAAAAATATTGTTAATATCGGTACAAAAATGGTAATGGGCCTTCAGTCAGAAGTTTAAAACGCTGTGAAGGAGTCATTTCCGACCCTATAAATCATATATATTCTTGATCAGCATATACAGCCGTGTCGATCTAGCTATGTTTCACAAAAATTAATTTTTTTAAAAATTTTGAAAATTTTTTAAGGGGTTTCATCGTTAAAATTGGGGAAAAATTTATAAAAAATTTTAATTTTTGAAAATTCTAAACTAAGTATGCAGATTTATTAACGTTACAAAAACTAACATGAAACAACTTTCCGAACCTTAATTAATGAATTTTTTACTTAGTTATGAGATTTTTAAACTTTAATTTGTCGAAAAAATTGCATATAAAAATATTGTTAATATCGGTACAAAAATGGTAATGGGCCTTCAGTCAGAAGTTTAAAACGCTGTGAAGGAGTCATTTCCGACCCTATAAACCATATATATTCTTAATCAGCATCAAAAGCCGAGACGATCTAGCTATGTTTCATAAAAATTAATTTTTTTTTAAATTTTGAAAATTTTTTAAGGGGTTTCATCGTTAAAATTGGGGAAAAAAATTATAAAAAATTTAAATTTTTGAAAATTATAAACTGAGTATGCAGATTTATTAACGTAACAAAAACAAACATGGAACAGCTTTCCGAACTTAAATTAATGAATTTTTGACTTAGGTGTGAGATTTTTAAAATTTGATTTGTCGAAAAATTTCAAATAAAAATATTGTTAATATCGGTTCAAAAATGGTAATGGGCCTTCAGTCAGAAGCTCAAAAGAAGGTGAAGAAGTCATTTCCGACCCTATAAATCATATATATTCTTGATCAGCATCTACAGCCGTGTCGATCTAGCTATGTTTCACAAAAATTAATTTTTTTAAAAATGTTGAAAATTTTTTAAGGGGTTTCATCGTTAAAATTGGGGAAAAATTTATAAAAAATTTTAATTTTTGAAAATTCTAAACTAAGTATGCAGATTTATTAACGTTACAAAAACTAACATGAAACAACTTTCCGAACCTTAATTAATGAATTTTTTACTTAGTTATGAGATTTTTAAACTTTGATTTGTCGAAAAAATTGCATATAAAAAGGATATAAATATCAGTTAAAAAATGGTAATAGAAATTTAGTCAGAAGTTTAAAACGCTGTGAAGGAGTCATTTCCGACCCTATAAATCATATATATTCTTGATCAGAATCAAAAGCCGAGTCGATCTAGCTATGTTTCACAAAAATTTAATTTTTTAAAAATTTTGAACATTTTTTAAGGGGTTTCATCGTTAAAATTGATAACAAATTTTAATTTTTGAAAATTCTAAACTAAGTCTGCAGATTTATTAGGGTAATAAAGACTAACATGGGACAGCTTTCCGAACTTAAATTAATGAATTTTTGGCTTAGTTATGAGATTTTTAAAATTTGATTTGTCGAAAAATTTCAAATAAAAATATTGTTAATATCGGTACAAAAATGGTAATGGGCCTTCAGTCAGAAGCTTAAAAGAAAGTGAAGGAGTCATTTCCGACCCTATAAATCATATATATTCTTGATCAGCATCAACAGGATAATCTTTCTAGCTATTTTTTCGAAAAAAAATTTTTTTCAAAAATTTTTAAATTTTTTTCCAAAGAAAATTTTTTAAAATTGACAAAAAAATTTGAATTTTTTAACATTTCAAATTGAGTATGCAGATTTATTAAGATATCAAAAACTAACATGGGAAAGCTTTCCGAATTAAAATTAATGCATTTTGACTTAGTTATGAGTTTCTAAAATTTTGAATTTTCGAAAAAAATTCTTATAAAAATCTCGATATATATTGATTCAAAAAATGTGTATGTAAATATTTATTATATAAAGAAAAATATAAATATAAAAGTAATAAATGTCTAATATTTAATAACAAATAATTATTAAATTTAAATTTCTATCATCCTTCTATTTTTATTTTTTTAATATATTTTTTAGCATACTATTGAAATGCATTTTGGGTGATTTTGAGTCCCCAAAGGAGTTTCTTTCCTAAAAATTATATTCTAACTCTTCCAAGAATTTTTAATATTATTTTATTTTGTTAATTTTTGTTATTTTTTGTTATTTTTTGAACAGTGCACCTGTTGTTGCTGCTCATTGAGCTGGCTTCGCTTTTGGTTAACATCAACGGACTGGGGCTCGGTCAATTGGCAATAAATCTGGCGAATCCGTTGGAGGTGAGGCCGGTAAGGCCGGTGAGCAGCCGCCCGGCCAAAAGCCAAACAAGTTCAAAACCACAATTGGGCAAACACAATCACGCTGGCAAGCCGAGCAGCAATTGAACTTGAAGCCAAGTTAACAACAACCAGCATCAGCAGCAGCAGCCTCTCCTGGCCAGGCGATGAGTGTCTGAATGGATTTGCATCCAACCTTATGATTTCCACAGCTCAATAGCTATAACTTAATTCAATAAAAATAAATATTCTTTATAAATTTCGCTATAAAGACACCTACATACATGTTTTCCTGTTTTCGTGCTCAATGAACTAATTGAAATGACAGCAATTCGTTTTAATAAATTCCCCCCAAAAATGGTTTGCACTCCCACTAATATATACAGATATCATAATTCCCTTAGTCCGGATAACAATTTGCCAGACAATATCTAATATAAATCAAAACCTTTACGGAACATCCATTTAACGCATTTATGGCACATCCATCAAATAAAAATTAAATAAAGATGTACGCTTTATGCTTTTATACATCGTATATAGTATGCTATACCCTATATAAATCGTGTGGGCTGGCGTGTGGCCAATGCCCTAAGAATGCCGCCATGGATGACCGAAAACGGTCAATGAAACCGTCACATTTCGCTGTTGGCCAATTAAAAACCGTTTTATTACCGAAAATCACTCGGTTTTGGTCAGTCAAGATTTATGGATGAACATCAAAATAAGCATAAGATCTAAATGGATTTTAGAGTTATCTATAAAATATGTAAGCTTGATTTTAAGTTTGGTATATTATTTTTTTAATTACTATAAGCAGTAAGTAACTATGATCAGTAAGTAACTATGATCATTAAGTATTAATAAACAATAAGTAACTTTGATCAGTAAATAACTCTGAACAGTAATTATCTATGACTAGTAAGTAACTTTGATCAATAAGTATCTATGACTAGTAAGTATGTATGATCACTAACTAACTTTGAACACTAATAAACAATGACTTGCAACTTTTTAAGCACAACACATATCTGAGACGTGGCCGGCAGCAGGCACTTCGTTCCGGGGAGGTGAGAACCAGTTGGGAATCATATGTACCCATGTGCGAGATTTGTTTTGGAACAAAGAGCAAGCTATTTCAATGAAACTATGGAGTTTATCTTCTATATAATTTTACTAGTATATAAGTCGGATCATGGGGAATCGGTGGACTATATATAAAAAAATATATATAGCACTATAGGAACAATAGGAAAATTTTAAGAAAAAAAATAAATATGATCAGCAATTAACTATGAGCAGTAAGTATTAATGAACATTAAGCAACTATGAGCAGTAAGTAACTCTGATCAGTAATTATCTATGACTAGTAAGTAACTATGATCAATAAGTATCTATGACTAGTAAGTATGTATGATCAGTAATTAACTTTAATCACTAGTAAACAATGACTTGCAACTTTTTTAACACAACACATATCTGAGACTTGGCCGGCAGCAGGCACTTCGTTCCGGGGAGGTGAGAACCAGTTGGGAATCATATGCACAGATGTGCGAGATTTGTTTTGGAACAAAGATCAAGCTATTTCAATGAAACTATGGAGTTATTCTTCTATATAATTTAACTAGTATATAAGTCGGATCATGGGAAATCGGTAGACTATATATATAAATATATATAGCTGCCATAGGAACGATAGGAAAATTTTAAGAAAAAAATGTTTAACTTTTCCAGTTTTCAAAAGATTTTAAATTTTTCCAAATTTGATATGTAGCCAATATGTATTAATCAAGAATTTTGTATAAAATTTTATGAAACTCGGACCACTATATCATATAGCTGCCATACAAAAGAATCGTTAAAAATAAAGGAAAATGCAAAGCCGCTAGGCATTGTTTTTTTTTAAGAAATATATATATATATATATATATATATATATAATTTATATTGTATTAATTCCTAGTTATCGAATTACAATCTGCAAGGGTGTACAAACTTCGGGTAGTTACCTTCCTTTCTTGTTTTAAATATATTTATTGATTCAAACTAACGCTTTTGGCGCCAACTAGCAGGAAAACCGCAAAAATCACCGCAAAACTGTTAGAATTCCCAACTAACATTGTAGTTAGTAAACCTCCATGCCTCTCTCTCTCTTTCCCTATTTGGCTCGAGCTAGTATTCAGTGGCGTGGTCAGGGAAAAGGGTTTTATATAAAGTTATATTATTATTTTAATTTTTGAAAAACTTTCTAGATAGTATTTTACTAGACAACTGCAATTCTAAGGAAGTCACTCTTGGTCAAGTTAGTAATATTAATATAAATTTTTTAAAAATTAATACAATAAGATAATAATAAAATCGATTAGTTGGGAATTATAACAATACTAAAAGCATAAAAAAATAAAATAAAGTCCCCCTCTGCAAAAGAAAATCCCCTCCTCTACGCCCATGTACTGTACTCACCTGCTGCTGCGACTGCGACTGCTAGATGATTTTTTTTCTGCTTCTTATCAGAGACGTCGCCTTCGGGGGGCTTTCGTAACTCGAGACGGAGATGATCGCAGAGACAACGGCACAAGTTGGCAAGTTGGCAAATATTTGAGCACTTTATATAGTTTTTTTTTTCTGTTTTTATTGTTTATTGTTGTTTATAATTTTACGGAAAGATCAAGTTGCGGCTGCCGCGGCGCTTCTGCATAAAGTCACTTGTCACTTTTTTTTCTCCACTGGCTTGAGCGGGGTTTTAAACGCGTTTCGGATTGATTTGCGGTCTGCGGCCAATTGTTATTATTATTATTGTTATTAAATGTTCACAAAAAAAAAAACGAAAACTATTTTTTAACACAAATTTTGGTCAATAAAAATTTTGAAAATATGTATATTGCACTTTAACACAAAACAAAAATAAGAAAAAAAAACAAGAAACAAATATCAATTTGTTGTTTGGTTTTGGGGAACGAATGCGGATACGGATATGGTTATGGATATGGATGCAGCTGATGCGGTTGGCACGAGTGGAGGCTCTGGACTGATTGCAGGTTGCCGTTGCTGCCGCATTTAGTTCCCTCGAAGCTGGGGCCCCGGCTTGCTCTCCCTCCATCTCTTTCTCTCTCTGTTGGAGTTGCCACCGCCGCAGCAGCAGCGCTCTTTTACACTGCTAGAAAAATTTATAAGAAATAGAGATAATGATTAATAGAAGATGGGGTTAATAAATCAAATAAAAAGTTTATAGAGGTGTGCTCTGTGATACAAAAAAAGTCTGTAATATTTTGGGGATTTGTTTAATTAATGTGCAGTAATTAATTAATTTAAATCAGTGGCAAATATAACACTAAAACAAGAAAGAAAACTTACTTACCAAACTTTATATACCCTCTTGCAGTTTTGTAGTTGAATTATAGGGCCGTCTTGAATATCGAACACTTGCACTATCACTTACACTAGAGATGTTAACAGTAGGAAGGCCGCGAACAAAATGAGGCCAGGGCCACAGCAGTGACTGTATTTATACTCTCCGGGTGAAGAGAACAACAGAGAAGAACGAGAGCGAGAGCGTGAGCGTGAGCGGGAGCGAGAGCTCGAGCAAGAGCGTAAGCTGCGGCGAATAAGAGTGGCGGCGAGAAAGAGTGGCGGCGAGAAAGAGTGGCGGCGAGGAAGAGTGGCGGCGAGAAAGAGTGGCGGAGAGAAAGAGTGGTGGCGAGAAAGAGCGGCAGAGACAAAGAGCGGCAGAGTGAAAGAGCTGCAGAGAGAAAGAGCGGCAGAGAGAAAGAGCGGCAGAGTGAAAGAGGTATCCTCTAGAGCCACACAGAGACATAGAGAGACATACCGAAACAGATGGAATTCTTAAGAGAGAACGAGAGACAGAGAGGGCAAGTGAAATAAGTAGAACTCTCTTTTTATTTCTAGAGTTAGATATATGAAGAGAGGCAGAGAAACAGAGAAAGTTATTCACTGCCATTATTATTACACAAATCTAACATACCTTTTCTTTCAGCGTATATGTATGTAAGTATTTGTCTCTGCCAACGCCTTTACCTCAGCTGATCCTGAAAGATAAGGAAAGTGAGAGCCACTGGCTGAGAGAGAAGAGTGTCGCTCCAGAACCCGATAATCCCTGCATGACTAATGATACTTTTGATACTCAGAAAATAAATAAATAAATAAAAAAAAACAAACCCAAAAGAACCCGAGTCAAAGGCCTGCCAAACCCTTTGCATATTTTTCTTATGACACTTCGCAAGTCGCGTGTTAATATGTATAAAATTCTTAATACATTCCGAAAATTCCCAATTATTTTACAGAAATTTAATTTAATCTATTACATAGCTATGGCATAGCTAATTGTCTGCCAAAAATAATCACAGTTGTTATAAGCAAAATTAAACTTGTAAATTGCTAGATACATTATAAGTAAATTAAGTTTAGCATTTATTCATCTTACTTTTCTAACTCTAAAGCTTTAATTTTGTTTCTAAAACAAGCTTTAAATATGTCCAAGCAAAAAAATAAATATAACCAAAAATCTTATAAGATTTCTTCATAAATATTTTTGGATTAGTTTTGGGTGACAAGTTCTAACTGAAAGCTGGAGATAGAGGAGATGGCCTTATCGCCCAGTTTTTTTTTTTTTTTTTTTTTTTTTTTTATCGCAATATCAAAAAATGGCTGGGACGAGGCTGAGGCCGAAAAAATAAACAACTCGAGCTGCCAACAGGGTCAGTGGTTGTATTTTTCTTTTTGGCCAAAACCACCTTATTAGCGAACATCATCGCAACGCACTATGCATTACTCTTACCCCCTCTCCACCTTCCCTCTCTCTCTCACTCTTTTTACGCACACACCACAGGCCAGTGAGTGTGCGTGTGTTGAATGCCAACGAGCGATCAGTGATTTTTGTAATGGCATTAAAATTGCATGAAATGCTGTTTAAATTCTAGGAAAACATTTTGTTTATGCAAGTGGACCAAGGATATCAGCAGCATCCAGAAAAACATGAAAAAATAAATCAATGTATATAAAAATATATAAAAATATATAAAATACATAAAATATATTTAACGATAGATATATGTATAGAAAAAAGTTCTTGTAAAATAATTATATGCCATCAAAAATCGCTTTGGATTTAAAGTCTTCTTTAAAACGCTCCAAAAATGTTCCTTATAAAGCAAATTACCAAAAGATACACCAAGTTTGCTTTAAAAAAATATTTTTAGGCCTATTTTTAGACCCTTTTCCAAGTAATTCAAAATATCTAGGGATTTTTGTAATGGCATTAAAATTGCATGAAATGCTGTTTAAATTCTAGGAAAACATTTTGTTTATGCAAGTGGACCAAGGATATCAGCAGCATCCAGAAAAACATAAAAAATTAAATCAATGTATATAAATATATAAAATACATAAAATATATTTAACGATAGATATATGTATAGAAAAAAGTTCTTGTAAAATAATTATATGCCATCAAAAATAGCTTTGGATTTAAAGTCTTCTTTAAAACGCTCCAAAAATTTTCCTAATAGAGCAAATTACCAAAAGATACACCAAGTTTGCTTTAAAAAATATTTTTAGGCCTATTTTTAGACCCTTTTCCAAGTAATTAAACATATCTAGGGATTTCTTTGACCACCTTGTATAATAAAATTAATAATTTTAAAATAACTTCAATTAAACACTAAGTTGATAGTATAAATGCAACTTGTAAACATTCAATGATGTAATTAAGCGGATTTCTTCAAGGATTTAAAAACTCCAGTAAGTTCTATGGGAATATTTGGTATAATATTTATAAAATTTTAAACAAATTCAATATTTTCCAGGTAATTTAAAGACTTTTGGCATATAGAATCTAAAATAAATCAGGCTAATAACCCTCTAATGATCGAAGGCGGCAACAGCTGGCAGAGCCAAGGCCCTTGGAGTTGCCAAGTGAAAGCCAATGGCATTAACCAGTCCCAGTTCCAGTCCCAGTCCCAGTCCATGCCAAGATGTCCCCTTTTGGACACTGTCCTTGTCCGCGCCTGTCTGACGTCAGGGTACGTAGGCAGCTGAAGAGGCGACGACGACCATGCACACGTCTCTGCAACATGTTGCCGCCGCCACTGTTGCTGCCTCTGATGTGCCTTAAATGGTCGGGGCAACTTTACCAAACATCACGCACAATGCATCTTATATATTTTATTTTTTTTATTAATTTATTTTAAGTGATTCACTGAAATCGAAAACTGCAAACGAAATCGAACCTTGGCAGTCCCAAAATTGTCAACACTGATTGATTTGAATTGCACTGCAGAAAAAACACATAAAAAGCGATCGAAAACAAAGTAGCCAATTTTTTAATTGGAATTTCACCTTATCCTAACCTAATTTAAACATTTAATTACTTTGCAATGCGGTGTAATATGCATTAAATTAAATGTAGGAAACTAAAACACGAGGAGCATGTACTTGAGCAGGAAAAATGTAGCTAGGCAAAAGTACCTATGCAAATGTTGCAAGGGTATAGGTGCTGCTGCAACATGTCGAACAAAGCTTGGTAGGAGAAAATGTAGCTAGGCAAATGTACCTATGCAAATGTAACTATTTAAATGTTACCAGGAACATTATGACTAGAAACTTCTATTTGCGCTGCTGCAACTTATTGAACTTTGCTTATTCCCAACCGAAATATTCACAATGTTCAATCAATATTTATGGATATTTTTATATGTAAATTTTTCCCAACAAATCAAAGTTTAAAAATCTTATAACTACGCCAAAAATGTATAAATTTTAATTCGGGAAGTTGATCTATTTTAGTTTTAATAGGTTAATAAATCTGCATACTCAATTCGAAATGTAAAATAAATACAAATTTTTTGTCAATATCGTAGGATAAATGATTTTTATAAAATAATATTTTATTTAAAATAATATATATCAAATTTGATAAAAATCTGTTGAAAACTGGAAAAGTTATATATTTTTTTTTAATTTTCCTATTGTTCCTATGGCAGTTATATATATTTATGTATATAGTCCACCGATTCCCCATGATCCGAATAATATCCTAGTAAAATTATATAGAAGAATAACTCCATAGTTTCATTGAAATAGCTCGATCTTTGTTCCAAAACAAGTCTCGCACATGGGTACATATGATTCCCAACTGGTTCTCACCTCCCCGGAACGAAGTGCCTGCTGCCGGCCACGTCTCAGATATGTGTTGTGTTAAAAAAGTTGCAAGTCATTGTTTACTAGTGATTAAAGTTAGTTAGTGATCATACATACTAACTAGTCATAGATACTTATTGATCATAGTTACTTACTAGTCATAGATAATTACTGATTAGAGTTACTTACTGCTCATAGTTACTTAATGTTCATAGATACTTACTGCTCATAGTTAATTGCTGATCATATTTATTTTATTTCTTATTGTTCCTATAGCGCTATATATATTTTTTTATATATAGTCCACCGATTCCCCATGATCCGATTTATATACTAGTAAAATTATATAGAAGAATAACTCCATAGTTTCATTGAAATAGCTTGATCTTTGTTCCAAAACAAGTCTCGCACATGGGTGCATATGATTCCCAACTGGTTCTCACCTCCCCGGAACGAAGTGCCTGCTGCCGGCCACGTCTCAGATATGTGTTGTGTTAAAAAAGTTGCAAGTCATTGTTTACTAGTGATTAAAGTTAGTTACTGATCATACATACTAACTAGTCATAGATACTTATTGATCATAGTTACTTACTAGTCATAGATAATTACTGATTAGAGTTACTTACTGCTCATAGTTACTTAATGTTCATAGATACTTACTGCTCATAGTTAATTGCTGATCATATTTATTTTATTTCTTATTGTTCCTATAGCACTATATATATTTTTTTATATATATTCCACCGATTCCCCATGATCCGATTTATATACTAGGAAAATTATATAGAAGAATAACTCCATAGTTTCATTGAAATAGCTCGATCTTTGTTCCAAAACAAGTCTCGCACATGGGTACATATGATTCCCAACTGGTTCTCACCTCCCCGGAACGAAGTGCCTGCTGCCGGCCACGTCTCAGATATGTGTTGTGTTAAAAAAGTTGCAAGTCATTGTTTACTAGTGATTAAAGTTAGTTACTGATCATACATACTAACTAGTCATAGATACTTATTGATCATAGTTACTTACTAGTCATAGATAATTACTGATTAGAGTTACTTACTGCTCACAGTTACTTAATGTTCATAGATACTTACTGCTCATAGTTAATTGCTGATCATATTTATTTTATTTCTTATTGTTCCTATAGCGCTATATATATTTTTTTATATATAGTCCACCGATTCCCCATGATCCGATTTATATACTAGTAAAATTATATAGAAGAATAACTCCATAGTTTCATTGAAATAGCTTGATCTTTGTTCCAAAACAAGTCTCGCACATGGGTGCATATGATTCCCAACTGGTTCTCACCTCCCCGGAACGAAGTGCCTGCTGCCGGCCACGTCTCAGATATGTGTTGTGTTAAAAAAGTTGCAAGTCATTGTTTATTAGTGATTAAAGTTAGTTACTGATCATACATACTTACTAGTCATAGATACTTATTGATCATAGTTACTTACTAGTCATAGATAATTACTGATTAGAGTTACTTACTGCTCATAGTTACTTAATGTTCATAGATACTTACTGCTCATAGTTAATTGCTGATCATATTTATTTTTTTTCTTATTGTTCCTATAGCGCTATATATATTTTTTTATATATAGTCCACCGATTCCCCATGATCCGATTTATATACTAGTAAAATTATATAGAAGAATAACTCCATAGTTTCATTGAAATAGCTTGATCTTTGTTCCAAAACAAGTCTCGCACATGGGTACATATGATTCCCAACTGGTTCTCACCTCCCCGGAACGAAGCGCCTGCTGCCGGCCACGTCTCAGATATGTGTTGTGTTAAAAAAGTTGCAGGTCATTGTTTATTAGTGATTAAAGTTAGTTACTGATCATACATACTTACTAGTCATAGATACTTATTAATCATAGTTACTTACTAGTCATTGATACTTGCTGTTCAGAGTTACTTACTGCTCATAGGTACTTAATGTTCATTGATACTTAGTGGTCATAGATACTTACTGATCATAGTTAATTACTGATCATAGTTACTTACTAAGTTTCAAGCCTCAGAATAAAATTATAATACCCTGTATAGGTATTCAAATTCGATATTTACGACTTTCCCTTCCCTAGTATAATAGTACTCTGTTTTCAAGTGATAATGGTATTTATTGTTGGTGGAATTAACAGATATATTCGCAATGAACACTAAAAACTAATCAGTGCTAAATACAACTCTTAGTTCAAAAATCATATCAAATATGGTTGGAAGCGGACGAGACCCGCTAGCTGTCCGTGAATGGTAACTATATGCTATAATCAATATGCTATATATATATATATATATGTATATATTGGCGATGTATACGATGTTCGATGATATCAATATGAAAGCAACAAATTTATCAAAAAATGTGTGCAAAAAACGGAATTAAATTATTACAAAAAAAAATGTATATAAACGAGTGTATGATAAATGTATATGTTGTATATATGTATGTATATATATAGTGGAATATCTGGCTGATCTTATAAGTAAACAGGATCTGAATAATTCAAATTATAAAATCACATCAATGGAAGAGTTCGAATGGCCAAGATGGAAGCTGCATTTGCATCTGCGTTCCTAAAATACTTTCTAAAATACGGTTATGACACCTTACCAAAGACCTTATAATAACAAGATGCATAAGGCCACAGCAATACTTTCTGCTAGTGTAAAAATTGAAAAGTAGATTGTGCTTCCATGATTAAGCAAGTGCGTATGTGTGCGTACAGATTTAGAATGCTTAAAAAGACAAGAGAGCAGCAGCTGGCTCTGGTTTTTAAACAATATTTTAAAAAGAGCTTGGAGCCATCTCTAGAGGCAGCAAAAAAATTTCATGGCTTTAATTATATTGCTATTATATGGTCTTTGACCTAAGCTTATCTTAAACATACAGCAGCGCATTCGGCGGATCCTTGAAACCGAAGGAAATGGTCTATATATATCAACAATATACAATACATATCCTACGAAATGAGGAGCGGCCATGATTTTTTGGCACTCGTATTGAATTGGATCCAAGAATCAGGTCTATAATGCCTAAAACTAGTAGGTGTCTTTCTTGGGGCAATTAAAACTATTAACTAAAGCTAAGTTACTCCTACATACTGTTACGAAACACCTTATATATCGGTTTGGAAGAGCGGCGGAAAAAGGAAGCTACTGCAATTGCTATTTGTTTTAGGGTTCGAGCAGCTCGAACGCGCTATACACAAATAAATCTAGCGAAAAAAATATGTAAACGAGAATTGCACACACACTGAGATTATGTAGGAAACTTAACGACTTATGGAAGAGTCCGATCAGGGGGATATATATATATATATATGTTTCGGTGGGTTTCGGAAGCGGCGGAATCCGTGTTATCCTTCAATCCGTAACGCCCAAATGCACCAGCTGTTGCATGGTCCTTTGCAAATATGTGGGATCCGGAAACATATTAAATTGTGTCTTGTGATCCACACTATTCCAGATCACAACATCCTCGCGTCCAGTGGTCACCGAACGACCAATAGAGAACAGCAAACGTCGATCAAAGGCAATCTTAAGGAAGCGCAACACTTTGCGGCCCAGCGGACAATCGGGCAAATAGCAGATCCTTGGAAATCCCACGGCAAAGAAGGCACGACCCGGATGCGGATGCTCGGAGGTCTGTAAACCAGAAGCAATGCTACGACAAAGAGAGAGAGAGAGATGGGTATGTATTTATGTTTCCCATAGAAGGATTATGAAATCTTACTCGTAAACAATCTGTATGGTGTTCTGACCCTCATGGCCCGGTAAATTCTTGCTTATAATGCTCCAGGACATGCTCCCAATGGGCTGATTGCCCACCTTTTCGCCATAAACGATGCCGCACACCGGGCACTCGATAAAGAGGTTCTGAAAGATATATTCCAATTACCAGAAAGATCGGATTAAAAAGAGATGGAAAGCTCTACCGTACCTTGTTCAGTTCATTTTGCTGGGCAATTATCATCCCATTGAGGCACTGCAAATGCATCAAATGCTGGCAACGACTCAGCGATATGGCTGGATTCTGGGCAGAATGAACCAACTCCTCCATGCACATGGGACAGGGCTGAGCATTGGGCCATAGTGGTGGCTCCACCACCTTAACAAAACGCGATATCATATCACTGGCGGGGTCAATTCCCACAATCGAACCGGCGATTGATTGTTGCTGCTGTTGCAGTTGCAATTGTTGCTGTTGTTGTCGCTGCTGCTGCTGCTGTTGTTGTTGTTGCTGCTGCTGCTGTTGTTGCTGCTGCTGCTGCTGCTGCTGCTGCTGTTGTCGCGGGTGCAATGGCAAAGGCGGCGGTACTGGCGCCCTTTCACCCAAAGACGATAAAGGCAGCGATGGCACAAACACCTCATCGCTTCCCAGTGAACAGTCGAGCAGATCATTCACCGAAATGGCAAAATTGCGACTACGCAGACTCTCCTTGCTCTCATGACTGAGGTAAGTGGACACCGTGTCCACACTGGGTCGCCGTCGATGCGATTTCACACTGTTCGTATCGGTGTCCGAGGCACGCGTCCGTGAACGTGATCGATGTGAGCCCATGCGGCTGCTACGCTGCGATTGCAATGATCCCTCCGAGCAGCGGCTGTGGTGGCTATTCATGGAGGCCGTCAGCATGTTCTTCGCATGCGAGAAATGGGCATGCGACAGGTGATTGCCATGATGATGGTTGTGCTGATGCAGGGAGGCCGTTGAAGATGATGAACTGGCGCTGGCTGCCGCTGCCATATTCGAATGCTTGGTGCTGCTACTGCTGCTGAAGATATTGAGATTATTGAGTATCTGGCGGAGATTGGTTGTGGAGATCTCGCTATGCTTCTTTGGCGGCTTTCTAGGCGCCGTTTGATGATGTGGCTGCTGCTGCTGCTGATGATGATGATGTTGCTGCTGCTGCTGCTGTTGCTGATGATGATGGTGCTGTAACTGATGGAGCTGCTGCTGCTGGTGATGATGTTGCTGCTGCTGCTGCTGGTGATGATGCTGCTGCACCTGATGACTGGTGGGCAGTGGATGCTGCTGCCTAGTCATGGGCACCCTGTGCAGGCTTCCCTTGCTGCTGTCACCCCCCAGCTTGGGCAGAGTGTTGTAGCTGCCCCCGCTGGCCGAGGACGAGCTGCTGCTATTGCTACTGTTGGACTTCAATTGGTTGGCCTGCTGTGGAGTTAGCTTCACCAGTGGATATGGCGCCTGCTGGGTGCGACGAATGCTGCGCATGGGACCGCTGGGCTGGCGCAGCTGAGTGAGATTGCAAAAGTTGATGGTGTAGGGCAGGCCAATGTGGCTGTTGCACAAATCCAACGTTTGCTCGCCCTGGAAGAAAATGTAAACACAAAAGTTAGTAAGAAATCTCTGGGAATAACCTGATCTTGCTTACCCTCGCCCAGGCATCCTCGATAATGCACTGGACATGCATATTGTAGGGCCGCCAGTCACTATTACTGTCCGCACTGCCGCCGGACCACTCCCACTTGGTGCCCTTGCCCGCCGGCGAGCTGGGCGCATAGAACATCCGTCGTACACCGATGACCGTCAACAGGCCCGTCTCCGGTGAATCCGCCTCCGATTCTTGGGTCATCGTGCGCACATTCACATAGTATTGCTCCAAACTCGGATCGGCATCGCTCAGCATGACGCGCGTTAGCTTCTTGGCGTGCGCACGCTCCAGATGCTGCGACACCGCCGGCGAATAGGGCAGCCACTTACCGCCGCGCGACTCAAACTCCCAGACGCATACGGCGTGGGTGTGGTTAATGGGCGGCGTGGTGGTGGCGTTGCCCGTTCCAGATGCGCCAGCGCCAGCAACTGTTCCAGGACCGGAACCCGAACAGGGAACATTTCCCCCTGTTCCCGAGGCAGCGCTGCTGGCCATCATCGCTGCTCTCTTTATATCTCTTCTCGTGTTCACTTCATTTCCATTTCCATTTCGATTTCCAATTCCATTTCCATTTCCAGCTTTTCGGTCGCCAGGTCTCCCTGTCTCTGTCGCTCTCGGCTCTCCGCGAAGATGGGCACAAAATAAACAAAGAAATTAAAAATGGTGGCCTGCTGCTGGTGCTGCCTGCGGTGGCAAGTGCATTTCGACTAGCTGCGTTTTCCCCCGCCAAACATTTTCCGCGGCCGTTAATCCGCCACGCACTAGTCGCTCCGTTTAAGTCAGGTTCAGTTTAGCACTCGCGTTTAACAGACACAAATCGGTTTATTTAGCACTTAGCGCAGGCGCAGGAGAAACCTTTATTTTTTTGTTTGCCCGAATGGCGTTTTCTAAACTGCGATACACATGGCGGATTTTCCCCTCCTGGGCATCTGGTCACTTTTATGCTGAACACGACCGTAAACAGGTGGGAAAATACCAATTCACAATTGGGAAAATACTACAAATGTAGTTTAGACTATCGATAATTTCTAAATTGGTATTTATCGAAGTTTATTTAGCGAAAGTGTTTTTAGCTATTAATTTTGAATTAGTAAATTTGCTAGTTCTTGTATTGAGATATTAGAATTTAAGCATTTTTTATTACATTTTACCTATTTTTAGTGTTTTCATGTTATTGGTTTCTCAGTGGAACCTTTCGATTTGCCATCAGTTCAGGTTGTTTATTTAAGTAAATTCTTGGGTAGTTGCTATTGGGCCTTGGCCGAACAAAGTTGTATTTTCCAATGCAAAACTGTCTATCAATTCAAAATGATAATTATAATGGCATATAAAAGTATCTATATATTATGTGCAAATTTTTTATAATAAAGCCCATTTACTAACTTTGAGCACTTTAACAGAATATACAAATATATATATTTTTTATAGCTATTTCTAGCCGATAACCAGCTCGATTTGGCTATACGATATGTGGCAGCGCCGCATGCAGCCCTGCGCTCCAGTGCAACCCTGAGCAGCGCTGCCAAGCAGCCCACTTCCGCCGCTGTCACCATTCCTTTACCTTTTTGACAGGCAGAGACAAAAGCTGGTCTTTCTCGCGACCCGCACAAATCTGCTTTTTTCGGTAGCATCTCTTGATAAAACTGCGTGACAATGGTTGTTAAGAAGGTAAATAACGTTACCGAATCAATGGACTAAACATTTTTCACCAAAATCGGGACAAACGCGAGTGTTTTTGTGTTTTGTTTGGATTACGCTAATGGCGTTGGTGTTGTTTTTGTTTTTGTGCACTATGTCAGTGAGAATGAAACTAATGGTGTTGTGTGTGTTTATTGCAGCCCAGGCCAAAGAAGAAGCCAGTGACCAAGAAGGTGGCCCCCGCTCCCCTGGCGGTGAAGAAGCCAGTGGTCAAGAAGGTTGTCAACCAGCTCTTCGAGAAGCGTCCCAAGAACTTTGGCATCGGTAAGTAGCTAACAATGAGATGAAGCTGGAACCGAGTAGAAGTGTTAATTTCCTCTGCTTGTACCCATAGGCCAGAATGTGCAGCCCAAGCGCGATCTGTCCCGCTTCGTCCGCTGGCCCAAATACATCCGTGTCCAGCGCCAGAAGGCCGTGCTCCAGAAGCGTCTGAAGGTGCCACCACCAATCCACCAGTTCAGCCAGACTCTGGACAAGACCACCGCCGTCAAGCTGTTCAAGCTGCTGGAGAAATACCGCCCGGAGTCGCCGCTGGCCAAGAAGCAGCGCCTGAAGAAGGTGGCTGAGGCCAAGGCCAAGGGCAAGGATGTTGAGCCCAAGAAGAAGCCCAGTTATGTGTCGGCCGGCACCAATACTGTGACGAAGCTCATTGAGCAGAAGAAGGCCCAGCTGGTTGTCATTGCCCACGATGTCGATCCCCTTGAGGTGAGTTATATTAGCATACTTTCAGTTGAAGTCACTACCTACATTTACTCTCCGCTCTTGCAATGATGTAAAACTTTGAATTTCTTCAACCGAAGGGCATATCCCGCTCTTTATTGGGTGAGGAGGCTGTCCATGTGGCAATTTGACAACTGATTTTATTTCCCAAAAGCCAGGTACTTGCTGGGAGCTCTATATATCAAGTTTAGCTTACAGCCAGTACTTAGCTTTAAATTCGGGGAATTGAGAGAACATTTTCCAATCACAACACGTGCTTTTTACCAAATAACCCAAAGACTAATGCCGTTCTATATTGCATTGTATTTTTCAGCTGGTTCTGTTCCTGCCCGCCCTGTGCCGCAAAATGGGCGTGCCCTACTGCATTGTGAAGGGCAAGGCCCGTCTGGGTCGCCTGGTCCGCCGCAAGACCTGCACCACCCTGGCCCTGACCACCGTCGACAACAACGACAAGGCCAACTTCGGCAAGGTTTTGGAGGCTGTCAAGACCAACTTCAACGAGCGTCACGAGGAGATCCGTCGCCACTGGGGCGGTGGCATCCTTGGCTCCAAGAGTCTGGCTCGCATCGCCAAGCTGGAGCGCGCCAAGGCCCGCGAGCTGGCCCAGAAGCAGGGTTAAGCTTAGCCGGAGGCTCGAGGAAGGTGGAGAGACTTGAAGTACACATTGGATGGAAATGATTTGAGCGCCTGTCGTTCTCTGATTTTGAAAACAACAAATAAACATTTAAGTGTACAACTTTTTTTTGTTTTTTTTCTACGTGTGAGTGTGTGTGAGAGTGCCCTGGTCGATTTGAATTCAGTTCGAATGAAAAGGCGTTCAATAAATCTAAGTTGTATATCCTATATATGACACGTGTTGTTCCCCAATGCTTGGGAAGTGGCTACCAGAAGTTATGCTGCTCCTACCAATGGTCCTTCCACAGGATGTGAATGTGAAAACTCCAAGGAAGAGGAATCAAGGAAGTTTTCCTTTTCAAAGAACCCGATTTTTCAGGAAGCCCCTCTGAAAAATTGTCTTCCAATATATGCGGATTTGTTTGGCTTTCTTGGAAAGTTATTTTCCTGGTTGAAAAATCTTCTGATTGCCTTTAATTACTTGTTTTGTTTTAAATATATTATTATTTTGATCAAAACAAATAGAATGCGGTCAAAATTCCTTTGATAAATCAGAATTTTATGGTGCTTTTACCAAATAAAAAAGAAAATCAATTTAAAATAGAATTTCCATTGTTTTAAATTCGATATTTCATTTTTTTCAGATTCAGTTAGTCAAATATTTGGGGGAAAAAAAAACAAACATATAATATCTCAAATAATTAATAAAAAAAACAAGAAGAAAACAAAAACAATTGAGACATGCAGCTGCAAGCAACTTCTGTCATCTGGCAACGACTTTCGCCCCTAGTCTGGCAACACCGGCTATCGAATGTTATCGGTAATTCTGTTTTGCACATTTTCATAACTTTTTTTCTTTATTAATTAAAAAAAACCATTAAAAAAAGAGGAAACAACGTAATTATTATATTTTGGAACGCTCCGTCTTGACCGCCTTAAGCTTGATGCTCTGAATGGCCTCGTTAAGGATGCTGAGGACCATGTCAACGCGCTCCACGGTAGCATTCTCGCCCATTAGTCCAATGCGGAAGACGTGCTCCACCGTGGGTCCCAAGCCGCCGCTGATCTCCACGCTGTACCTGGTAAGGGAATGGAATTGGTGGAATTAATGGTGCTATATAGAGATTCGATCCCACTCCAGACGCTACTCACTTGCGCATGGCATACTCGGCCACCTTCTTCCAGTCCACGCCGAACGGCACCTTGATCGTGTTGACCGTGGGCAAGCGCTCCTCCTCCCGTTGCACGAACATCTCTAGGCCCAGCTCCTCGATGCCCAACTGCAGCCGCTTAGAGCACTCCTGATGACGCCGGACGACAGCCTTTAGGCCCAGTGCACAGAAATGGGCCAAGGCCTCGCGCAGGCCGTACAGCAATGTGGACGATATGGTGTGATGATAGATCCTGGGTGTGCCATAGCAGCCCCAGTACTGGCCAATTAACAGGATATCGAAGTAGTACACCTTCGGCTTGGTCTTACGCTTCCGAATGTGGGTCAGAGCGCGCTTACTAAACGAGATCGGTGTGATGCCAGCCGGGCCGCCGAGGGTCTTCTGTGAACCCGTATAGGCCACATCCACCTTCCACTCGTCCATGAGAAACTCAGTGCCTCCCAGCGAGGCCACTGTGTCCACCACCAGGAAGCAATCGTACTTCCGGCACAACTCACCGATTTCACGGATATTCTGCTGAATGACGCCGGTGGAGGAGTCACCCTGGGCAATGAAGAACACTTGCGGCCGGTGGGCCTCGAAGGCGAATGTAAGCTCCTCCCAGCTCAGGGCTCGTCCGAAACTTGCCTCCACATAGTGAACTTCGGCGCCATAGCGACGTGCCATATCTCCAGCTCGATGGCCCCAGACCCCGGTTATGCCCATCAGCACAACGTCGCCATCCTGGATAAGGTTGCAGAGAGCCGCCTCCATGCCGCTGTGACCTGCGCCACTGATGCACATGGTGGCATCGTTCAGTGTCTGAAAGATGTACTTGATGCCCTCCTTGACCTCGTCCATAATCTGTGTGGAAGGAAAAATATGGTAAAATTCCATTAATTGAATTTTTAAATATCGAAAGATTTGTATTTGAACTTTAAAATGTTGGTTTCGAAAATAGTAACTTAATTTGTTGGTTTTTTGAACATCAAAATATCAATTTATCGCACAAATGTATAAGGCAGAGGTAAATTAATGATATATTCATCAAATATCAATACGATTTTGATATATCTTCATTTTCATGATTAATCTTATTCACATATTTATGTTTTAATTGAAAATAACAATAATCCAGCAAAGTCAATGTATCTAAGCAAAAACTTCCAATGACTTTATTTTTAAAATTCTTTTAAATATTTTAATGTTTCAATACAGTCATTATCAATACTATATTTGAAATACTTTCAATCAGCATCTAATTAACAAATATTTTTGTAGCAAAACCTACCTGCAGGCACTCGGGATGCATATGCCCCAGCACCGGATTGCTCATGGCCTCCAGAACACGATGGGAGCAATTGGAGGGTCCGGGACCCATCAGTGTCTTGCTGGGCACATACAGGTGTCGCTTGAGGACCAGTGGCGGCGGTACTTCCATGGTTTCCCCTTTCTTGTTTCTCTGTTTACGTAACCAGATCTCTGACACAAACACACACTGAGGAGCAGCAGCTGGCTTATCGCTTAATCCGTTGATACAGGTGGAGGAGGGACAGACGGACGCCTTCTAATGTATATGATACTATGGATGCGGTGACGTTAGCTCTCTCTGAACTGGCTGAGATTCAACTGAAGCGCTGGCCGGGCTGCTGGGCTGCTTTATAGCTCTCCATCGGGATCCGTTCTTATCACCGATGAACGCACTTGAACAAGTGCTCAATGATGCGCTCTCCCCTAGCTTATCACATCGTCAGATCGGGAGCAAATGCGTCGTTGATTACACTGCAATGAATACAAAAGGGAAATTTACCACAACGGATTTATATTCAATATCTTAAAACAGCCCAAGAAGGTATACTAGTTATTGACCTACATTTATTTTGTTTTATATTTATATCTATTATATTATTTTATAGGTTATTAAGGGAATCTTTTTTCCTTGGTGTATTTGCTTCGATTCTTTTAATGGCCTTCGCAAGGTTGGTTCATTGCGAAATTCACCGAAACCTTGGGAATGTGGAGGAGCTGATGCTGGAAGAATCTGCAGAGAACAGAGAGCACCAAGTTTTAAGAACTCTCAAAATCTATGGATACTGATAAGAGAGATCACAACAACAAGATGGGTTTTACCTCCCTGAAAACTCGGCTTGGGGAATAAACCCCAAAAGGGATCACAGTTTATGCTAAAAAATATATATATAAATAACTATTTCAAGTGTGGTGAAATTACTAGTTTAAAAATAAGAATAATAACAAGAACAACATCAAAAAATTAATTAATTAATTTGACAAAAACAGTGAAACAAGATTATATGGGTTATTATACCCTTGAAGGGTCAGAAGCTTAAAACGCATCGAAGGAGTCATTTCCGACCATATAAATCATATATATTCTTGATCAGCATCAAAAGCAGAACTGATCTAGCCATATCTGGACAAAAAATATTTATTTTTTAAGTTTTATCAAAATTTGATGGTCATTTTAACATTATTCAAAATTATAAAAATTGATAAAAATTTTACTTTATTAAAATTTAAAATTGAGTATGCAAATTTATTATCCTAATAAAAACAAAGATAGGCCAATTTACCGAATTAAAATTAATGCTTTTTTAGCTGAGTTATGGCTTTTTTAAACTTTGACTTATTTGTTACCTGAACTAATATTAATATTAATTAGATATTTGATATAATAATGAGAAACTAACTGTTTTTGTTTTAGAAATTTAAAATTAAATAAATGTTATTAATAGAAAGTTTAAATTCAAAATTAGAGAGCGCCAAGTAGTCGATGTGACCTGCTGTCATTTCTTTGTCCCATTTGGCCACACTGAAAAGTTGACGTTTTGATGTAAACACAGACCGAGAGTCATTATTTGTATACTTTTAGTGCTGTTCACACCGATTTTGGCTTAATATCATTCAGTATTTGTAAAATAATATAAGTAGTTTTAAAAAATGGAATTCGACGGGGACAGTGCGGGGTCCATAGAGTCATTTTTCAGTAGGCTGCAGAGGTAAACAAAGGATGACGATGTGCAAGGTGGTAACCCAAACTAAATCCTTCTTTTTAGCAGCGAATCTTCACCACGAAATCTCAGCCAGATATTCGAGGATGACCTCCTGCCAATGCGAAAGGAATCGCGTAACCTGCGCTACCAGCCGGGCGGCCACAGACCCCAGCAGCCGCAGCCGTCATCGACCACGAAGAGCGGTGGTGAAGTGTCCTCGGCGAGCGAAAGCGTTGCAGTTGAGCATAAACCCAGCTGTTGGAAGGTTGTATTCGCCAAAGTTGTTAATATCTATAATGACTGCAGGCCCCTGAAGCGGATGGGCCTGGCTCTGACCATGCTCGGCGACAATGAGGCGGTCACCATGATCCTCTACAAGCAGAAGACCCAGATGATGAGCAACACGAAAGTGAAGCCCAGCGGTAGCACCATCTACTTACAGGATCATTATTTGCAATTTTACGACGATAGCAGAAAGTTCTGGAGTTTGCGATTCGTGTACCAGGCGGACGAAGAAGAATTTATCCAGACAATGACCAGCAATGGCTGGCCGCTGGAGCAGCGCACTTCCAACTCCGAGGTCGATGTGGAACAGAACACCTCCAGATCAGAGGGTGATGTGGAGCAGCAGCTGCACGCTTCCAGTTCGGAGGAAGATGTAAAGCAGCTAAGCGAGAATAACATGGAGCCACGGAGCGAGCAGAACAAGGACCAGCAGAACCCAGCAGATCGCAGACATTCCAGAAATATTGACGAACACCTGGAGCTGCCCCCGCAGCCAAAGCCACGTTCGCGCAACCTTGCCACATTCCAGAAAGAATCAAATCAAAGAACCGTCGTCTGCAGGCACTGCCTATGCCGTTTGGGCTGCGAGGACAGTCAACCGATTTGTGAACAGATTCCCGAGGAGGACGTGATAGTCACACCCATGTCCAGACCCATCGGCAGTACCTGTACGAATACATCAATGGAAAATCAGTGCAGCAGTGCAAACGCTATTGTTAAATTGCAAGCGAAACAAGCCGAGTCCCCCTCCGCCACTCTACTGACCAAGTTCTTGGACACGCATTCGAGTCCAGGAGATATCGCTAAAATGAAGATGCAAAACATTTTCGATGCCATGCAAAGAGTGTCTGATGGTGGCCATCGGAAAAATATTAATGACGCCCAGTACGAAGGTACGCCAAAGCCACAACCCAGGACGACGTCAAAGACTGAGGATGCTGAGGATAGATTGCTGGAGCTGGAGCAGCTCTTGTTGGATGCCAAGAAGGAAAATAGGGAGTTGGTAAAAGAGCTGAAAAGACGCGATGAGGATCTACGTAGTTTCCAAACCTCATCGCTTACGTTGTTGGAAAAGGTGCTAGTCTCTAATGACGATTTAACCGAGAAAAATGCTCGTCTTCTGGACACCGCCATGGGTGATATGAAGGCGACGAAGCAAGTGAATTGCGTCAATTGTGAGCGCTCCGCCCAGGAGATTGCCTTCCTAAAGCGTAAGATAACCGCTCTGGAGCTGGCACTGCGGGAATATGAGTGATGTCAGGTGCGACAATAGCCTTCAATTGTTACAAGTTTATATGTATATAGTTTGTTATGTGTAATCGAAATTTATATTTATTCGGTTGAGATAGAACTGCCTCTGTTCGTATGCCCTAAATCCGAAAAATATATATGCAACCCAACTCCCGATATATGCAAAAGCTTATCACTTTGAGATAGCCTGCAATGTAGAAGCACAGTCAAATCATTTTCTTGTTAGCTGCACTCGAGTTCTCCTCTCCGAGATGTTTTCTTATAAGCCGTTCCTCAGAGGTCTTTGTCTTCTAAAAGAGAGTTTCTCTATATCTGCACTATAAAGAACTCAAAAGATAGTTAAGAAATTAAAAACAGTCCTCTATATACAAAACAAAATTCATGAATGCCAAAAATAGGTAATAGTAATAATACCAATATGTTTCACTTGTACAAACTAATTGACTTTTCTTTGTTTTTGTTTTGTATATTTGCAGATGATACTTTAAACTTAAGATCTAAAAGACATGTCTAGGGTTAAAGGGTGTAGGGTTTGGGGATTCGTTTTGTTTTAAGGAGAATAATCTGAAACTGGAACTGGCAAATCCGGCAGTCTCTAATGGAAGTGTAAGGGGTCATGCGAAAATCAAACTAATTTATGGAGATAGATAGGAAGCGGAGTTGCTTTGGAACGCAGCTATGTATCCTGATCGTAATCAGTTGGTGCTGCTGTCGCTGAGACTGCTCAGGTAGCTGCCGGCGGTGGGGGCACCAGAGTTGCCAGCGCGATGCCGCTTCCGCTTTACCTTGGTCTTTTTGCGTCGCAACATGGCCGTGTCCGCTTTCCGCTTATACTTGCCCTGACGTTTCTTTTTCCGGCCATATTCATCGGACTCGCTGGTGCTGGACTCCTCATTGTCGCTGGAATCCGACTCCGAATCGGAATCATTGCCATCCTCATCGCTGCTGCTACTGGTATCTGAATCCGAATCGGTGGAAGAGGAGGAGGAAGATGAGGAGGAGTCAGACGAGCTGCTGCTGCTGCTGCTGGTGGAGGGGGAGGATCGTCGTCGCTTTGACTTCTTGCTGGTGCTGCTTGGGTGTTTTCTAGACTTGGTTTTGGCCAGATCGGAGGTGTCCTTTTTATGCTTGTGGCTTTTCTTCTTGCGCTTCTTGTGCCGCTCCGACTTCTTGTCCTTGTCATTATCCTTCTCGGCTATCTTATGGCTCCGCTTAGAGCTGCTCCTCTTCCGGTCGTGCCCTCTGTCCTTATTCCTCTCTCTCTCCCTGTCCCGCTCCCTTTCGCGTTCCCGTTCTCGCTCTCTCACCTTACTGTGATCACGGTCCCGAACTCGATCACGATGGCCATCCCGCTCTCGGTCCCTTTCCCTGTCGCGCTCTTGCTCCTTGTTCCTGTCGCGCTCCTTCTCTCTAGCCTTATCCTTGTTAACTGTTGTCGTCGCGATCGGCAGCGTTGGCGGTGGCACTTCGGCGCCGCCTTTCAGCTCCTGCGCCCGCAACTCCGTCAGCGGCGTGAGGTAGTCCAGCTCCGAGTCCGAACTGGTGCTCTCCACATCCAGCAGGATCTCCTTGTTGGGGTCCACCTGGTTGGGAAAGATGGATGGGTGGGGTGGGTGTTATTGGCTTCGCTGCCACATGTCCGGCGCTCGCTTACCTTGAGAAAATTGCGGCATTGGTAGGTCAGGTGACCGGCGTAGCCGCACTTCTTGCAGGCAGCCCGCAACGTATCCTTGTTGGCATTGGCCAGCGGGAAGTTCATGGCGTGTGGCAGGGTATCCCCAGACCAGTATAATTGTGTTTTTCGCTAGCGCAGCATTTAATTTTTATTCCAAATTGTAACTTAAGAATTGCCGGTAGGGATGTGCAAAATATATACAATTATATCGATATTTATAATTAAGAAACATATACATTTTTATATTTTCATTGTGTTTTGCTTAAATTCCGAAATATTAACTCGTTTTTCTTATACATTTTGATTTTTTTTCAAGGTTTTTTGCTGAATTTATTTACAGGCACGGCTTCAGCTTCAGCTAGTGATGACAAAAAAGTAGTATTTTCTTTTCTCTCACGAGTTGTTTCACGTACTTCCGATAGGAGATACTTTTTTCTTGACGTTCACCACTAATATACACAGCTGTTGCTGGTCGGCCATGATTACTATCGATAAGTTGGTTACTAGACCAAGTTTTTCGCCTTTACCAACACACAATGGCCATTACAACGCTAAACAACACTTTTTTGCTACAGCTCCGAAATTGCTAAAATTCCACGAAATTTAAGTGTTTTTTCGACATTCCTGGAAACAGCCTATTTAAATCGACAAGTACCACATAAAGCGTCCACCTGCAGTCCGCGGAACACAGGAAACCCGGATAAATCGAAGCTAAGCAGGATGCCCGTAAAGAACGGCGAATCCGATGGTGAGGGCGACGTTTCTGGTGCCGAATCGGAACACTCAAACTCCAGCCAAGCCCACGATACCTCCGATGAGGAGGAGGCCAATGAGTGCGACTCCGATGACTCCTCGGAGCTGGATGTCAGCGAAATTGAGCGACGTCGGGCGGAACACATCGAAGATTTGTGTAAGCATCAATGGAAGCCCATCCATTCATTCATCCCATATCTAATCCGTGGTTTCCTCTATTTTAAAGTGAGCTTGGAGCGCCAGTTTAATACGCTGCGGGAGCAGTACTACTTTGAACGCATCAACCTCATTGAACGTCAGCTGGCGGAAGTTCGTTCCGGCCGTTCCGAGGAGTTTATTCAGCCGCAAAAGGAGCTGGACAAGGTGTTTCGCACCCGCATTGAGGTGGCCGATGTGCTGCGCAGATACCGCCTGCAGAACATCGAGCACAAGTTCCTGTCCGAGGAGCAGGCAGCCGTCCAGCATTTTGAGGTGAGTCCCAAAGCATTTTTGGCGCCAAAAATATATTGGGGGAAGACAGGCAGACCTGCATTAACAACTCCAACTTCTAACGTTTATCCCTATTTTTCACAGAGCGAGAAGCATATGACTGTTGACAATCTGCGCGACGAGCTGGTTGATCGCATCCGTCGCTTGGAGGAGGACCGCCACAATGTAGACATTTCGTGGGCCGATTGGGGCACCGACAAACGCCAGAGCAAGGTGCGCGGCCCGGGGCGTAAAAAGGCAGTGACCGTAACCGGGCCATATGTGGTGTATATGTTGCGCGAGGAGGACATTATGGAGGACTGGACGGTCATACGAAAGGCCCTCAAGCGATCCTCGTCATCGGCAGCGGGAACGGGAACGGTGACGCCCACACCGGGTGGCGTCAGCCTGTCCGGACTGCCAGCAATGGCTGGTGCCAGCGGATAGCGGTGGGGCATGGCTGCTTACGCCCACCTGCGTACCTGACGGCAGAGGAACCTCTGCCACCAGCGGCAGTATAAGTAGAATAGCGATAGCGATATAGCGGAGCTCCCTCCTCGGGCTCGCCCGGACTCGACTAAGTTTATCATCCCCTAAGATCCCTCTCCCTTAGATTTTAGTTGTAAAGCCCACGGAATCCCATGCACGACTCTCATAACCATGTCCCCAAGCCCAAGACGATGTATGTAATTTATGCTAAACGTTAAGTGCTAAATAATAAAGCGACCAGCTAGCCATTGGGGGGCCAGTGTGCGGTCAATTCCAGCGATTTCCCTTCATTATTTATGGAGGAATCCATTAAGATATAATTTTCTTTATCAGATTCGGCATTAGCCTGAATATCCTTGATAAGTTCAGATAATACTAGGAAGAAATAGACTCTCCAATCCGATCCAATGCAAATCTAGTAAAAAGACCATAAAACCTTGAATTAAATCAACAGGTTAGAGTTTATTATTATTATTGACATCCACATTGCTAGCCCTCTAGAAGCCCTTTTCCTTGAGATAGTCCCTCAGTAAGTCCACATGGTCGCCATGGATGTGAATCTGACCGCTCAGCTCGTTGACCCGGGTGGCGCAGAGCTTACCGTTCCGTGACTGCTCCACCACTGCTCGCAGATCCTTTTCCAGCGACCAGATATCGCCCTGGACGCGACGCACCACTGTTATCCGACGCTGGCCGCGAAACCGTGTGTGCAGATACACCGGCACCATGTGATTCTTGGTCCTGGCCACATAATAACCGCTCGTCGACCCATCCTCCTTTTGTGGTCGCCAACCGGATGGATATTCGGCCTTGATCTCAGGCTGGGGGACTATTGCCGGCGGCAGCAGGCGTTCTACAAACCGCCATTCTGGTGGATTGGCCACCACCTCGACGTCCGGATACTGATCTAGCTCCTGAACCTCCCGGGAGGAGCGAAAACTGGACAGGAGTGCGGGCTGCGAGTGCAGTTTCCTCGTGAACTGCAAGTAGATCAAATTGTGGGATGAGCACGCCGAATGTATAAAAAGAAACTACTTACCTGGCTCAGTTTTTGGCAAAGGCCGGTGCCCAGCATAAGTTTCGTGCTGGCCGCCATGGTTTTAATAGAGTTTTAACAAATTATCAGATGGAAAAACAATTTCAGTGCGATTACATATGCGGTAGCGACAGTGTTGAAAAGCACAAATATTAATGGTTGTGTGTTAATATCGATGTGGAAGGTGTTGTCTATTTTTTATTCATATATACAAATGGTTTATTTTAAAACTTTAAAATCTAATAATATTAATAAAATAAAAAAACATAAAAGAACAAATTCTAACCAGAAAGCCTTGTGTTGAGTATGGCGATATTATCGTGATGGTTTTCAAACCAACAATCGATATCGATATTTTTTCAAAAACCGTCGGCCATTTTCTTTATTTTGTTTTGGTTTTGTTTTTAACGGAAACATGCCAAAAAATTTAATTTATTATGTAGATTTTTGATCTAATTATAATTTACACACGAAAGCATTCCATGTCACTATAACCTCCTTGAGCAATGCCGCAAGGAGCACACTTAACAAGCAAGAGCGAGTGTGTCTTAAATGCCGCCTGCGCCACAGGCGCAGCAGAAAAGTTCCAGGCGAACGGCTTCCCTCGGTTGGAGCACTGGGAGCTACAATTAAAGCCTCTATTGAAGAAATGCTTCCCTTAATAGGATGCAGAAAAAGATAGATATACAATAAATCTGATGATTAGGAACTACGTGGATTTATTTTAACAGTTTAAGTTTTACATGAAATGTGATGCGATGCGGATGAATACTAAGAGATCCCTTAGATTGGAGAGATGGGTGTAATTGTGGTTGAGCTTCAGGCATCCGATGTGAAGAACCATGTGGACTTATTTTAAAAGTTTAAGTTGTATATGAAATGTGGTGCGATGCGGATCAATACTAAGAGATCCCTGTGATTGGAGAGATGGCTGTAATTGTTGGAGAGCTGCAGGCATCCGATGTGAAGAACCATGTGGACTTATTTTAAAAGTTTAAGTTTTACATGGAAAGTGGTGCGATGCGGAGGAATACTAAGAGATCTCTGTGATTGGAGAGATGAGTGTAATTTTTGTTGAGCTTCAGGCATCCGATGTACTACGTGAAGAACCATGTGGACTTATTTTAACAGTTTAAGTTGTACATGAAATGTGATGATTGGAGAGATGGGTGTAATTGTTGGAGAGCTGCAGGCATTCGATGTAGTAAACTTCCTCTTTTCATAGTCAATAGATCCAGGCGCCCGTCAGAAAAACTGTGGCGTCGCCTGTAAGATGTAAACAAGTTTAGATGGGTTTAAGCATCTTGAAAGTCGAGGTCACCTTCGGCTTGGAATTTGATCTCCTCCCTCTTGCCAAATTGCAAGTCCAGCTGGGCGTGGGGAACCGCGTCAGACAGTGTAGCAATAATAAACTTTCCATAGTCGGTTATAGCGTAAATCTTGGCCATATGTCCCTGCATGATGCCCACACCCGATATGCAAAACGATTCTTCATGCATACGAGTGTACAGGCGCCAAGGCGTCAATTCTAAACCTAAGCATCGGGAAGTTTATAAATAAGACGATTTAAAAAGGGACAAAGACCGCACGAATCCAAAGGTGTCTAAAGCAACAATAGTTCTCTACACCTTTAAAGAAACCTAAATAGTGCCACTTACCGAACAAACTCATCTTGCAAGAATATGAAACTTGAGTTCTGCAAATACAATAGAAAAAAAAATCCTTATTGGTTGTTCTTACTTAATCGTAAAACGAAAACCTCCTGTATGACATGAAAGGGAACACATAGCGCACTGTTTCCCTGCAATAATTAATTGACAAAAACTAATATTTAACCAACCGTAAGCTTTGAAAATTTTCTTTCCAAATATGGCGTCTACTGGACACAACCGCACATGTGCAACCGTTGAACAAGAAGGCCGCTTCGGTGGCAACTTTGAAGTCTGGCAACGTTGTAGAGATGCAACAGAATCGATAAGACCTAAGACGATACTACAGCTGAGAAGCATCTATAGAAATATCGTGTAAATTAATTAAAATAAAATAAAATGGGAATATATCTTGAAATATAAATAAACATAGGTAAAGATTTTTGTTTGACTTTTAACGGGCTTGAACCGGAGCATTTTGGCCTAGTGAAGAGTGAAACGTAAAGAGCGGATTGATTTTACTTACTTGGTGATGTAAAAACATCGATAGTCGCAAAAGAAAATACCGATACCCGATTAACATACGAGAGCTTAACAGCACGCTGTTAACATTTTTCTTGGCGCAAAACATAACGGAACAGTGAAAATCTTATTGGCATTTTTTTTATTGAACGAGTAATTGTGTGTGTATACAGTGGCAATAAGTTATAAATACAGAAAATAAGTGTTCCTAATCCTCCGTGAAACTGCCCAGATCACGCCACTCCTGGTCGCGCTCTTCCAGACGCAGTCGCAGCCGCTCGGCGAGTGCCTCCTCCTCGTCATATGGAATATAGTAAAAGGCAATTACCACAAAGACCAGCATATCGACGAACATGAGGCCGGCGAACAAGAAGAACTCGCTGGCCTGCGACTCAAAGAACTTGAGCTCCGCCACCACGACCACGATGACATTGCCAAAGGCTACGGTCAGTAGCCAGCAGGCCTGGAGTACGCTCTTCATGCTGGGCGGCGACTGGGAGTAGGAGAACTCCAGCCCCGTTACCGAGAACATCACCTCGCCCAGCGTCATCACCACATACTGCGGCACCAGCCACAGCATGCTCATCGAATTGGGCGTCGTCACCTCGGCCAGTCGCGACTCGAAACCCTCGCGACCCTGGCCGACCAACAAGGCATAGACGCCGCCGGCCCGCAGCTCCACCTGGACCAATAGCTGATCAGCCACCTGGACCGTGTACCTGCCGGTTGGTAGTTCATAGAGATCATGATTCCGAGCGGGCAGATCGAGGGCCACCGATCCCGTGGCCTCCTCTGTCCATACCACACGCGTGGTGGCCAGCAGATTGGCCAGTGTGCGGACGAAAGCCTGCGAACGATTCGACTTCTGCACATCGTCCTCGTACCAATACTTCCGGATGGCGTGGGCCGGACGCAGGAACAGCGAGTGGGCAGTGGCCTCGTACAGCTGCTGGCTGCCGCCCTCTAGAGCGGTGCAACCTAAGGATACAGCAGGACATGATGGGTAAGTCTAAGCCTGACTCTTATTATTATTTCCCCCAATCAAATGATGCTTGAGTTACCTTCTGTCAGTGTCTCCACGGTATAGGTGAGCGTAAAGGTGCCATCCATGCTCGTGGCCAGGTTGCCCGAGGAGTATGTGTCCATTCCGATTAGCTTAAAGCTCTCTCGAGCGCCCAGATTCGTGTTGAAGCGATACTCGCAGTCGGGAACACCGCTAAAGACCCGCAGCTGGGTATTGCCACTGCTGGGGATCAGGGGATATGTGTGCTGAAAGCAGGAGGAGAGATCCACCTTAACCTAGGTACTCCCCATGACTCTTCAAACTTTTCTTTCTCTTGTGGTTAGGAACACTCTTGTCGGATAGAAAGCACACACAGTACACAGGCCACTATGCAGGAATGAGCGAGCACTCGGAAGCAGGAAAGAAGGAGGAGAGCCAGAATTTGTATCAATAGTTTTTCTTTTATTAGTTTAACTAAATTGGATGTCTTTTCATATGCAACAACGTCGCCCCAAGTCAGGGCTTCACTTACACTTAGCCTGGGAATGGACAGAAGCCACTAAGGATTCACATATACACATCTACAAATACAAATACAAATACATATAATACACACAACGCCTGAGCGAGCAGGATTAGATCAGACTGAATACGAAGCGACCCTATTCGCTTTCCTTGATGTCCTTGCCCTTGTTCTCGACACCGCCCTCAAGTGGAGGAATCTCGGCCTTGGCGTCGCCGCCCGTCAGCGGCTGAATCTCTTCGTCACTCTTGTTGGGATTGTTCGGCACATAGTAGTAGGCCATGACCATGAAGAGCAGCATGTCGGCGAACATGAGGCCGGCAAATAGGAAGAACTCACTGGCCTGCGACTCGAACAGAGCGGCCTCGGCAATGATGACCACAATGACATTGCCAAAGGCAACGGTCAGCAGCCAGCAGGCCTGGAGCACACTCTTCATGCTGGGCGGGGCCTGGGCATATGAGAACTCTAGTCCCGTCACCGAGAACATCACCTCGCCCAGGGTCATGATCACATACTGCGGTATCAGCCAAAGAATATTCATCGAGTTGGGTTCCGTCACCGTCACCAGATTGGTTGTGTATGTTCCGGCCGAATTGGGAGCGATGAGGAGCGTATAGACGCCACCGGTATGGACATTGAAGGTTCCGATATTGGAGTCACCAACGAAGACAGCGTATTCGCCTGAGTTGACGCGCGTGAGGAGTGTCTCGTTGGCGTAATCATCGTAGGCCACCTCGTTCTTGGAGACACTACGCCACACCACCTTCAACGTGGGATTAATGTTCGCCACGTTCCGGATGAGCGGATGGCTCTCACTGGGCTTGTCCACAAAGTCCTCCTCCCAATATTGCGTCTTGGTGGCATTCAACGGATTAAGGAACAGTGACCAGGCCGTCTTCTGGGTCAGGACCTGGGTGCCCGAGTAGCCGGCACAACCCGCCTCAGTGCTGGACAGCGTGTAGATCAGGCTCGCCGTGTTCTCCACATACAGATCCTTGTCCGTGTAGACATTCAGTGGCGGCACCTGGAAGGGTTGCAGCTGTTCTCCATTTAGGGTCCCGGATAGCTGGTACTGGCAGTTCTCGGTGTTGAAGATGCGCAACTGGACATTGTGGCTGTAGGGCAGGTCGGGATAGGTTTTCTACGACAGGCGACAGTCAACAGCAAGCGTGCAACGAGAAGAAAAGAGTGGGAAAGGGTGCAGGTGCAAGTGCAAATACGATACATAAACAGGGACTCCACTCATCAAACTCTCTACTCACCTCCAGATTCAGCTCCACCACACCGGAAATGATGAAGGCCACGCCGGCCAGGATGCCGCCCATGGTGAGCTTTTGCAGGGGCCGCGAAATGCCAACGAGACGCAGGGCTGGATAGAAGGCAACATCGTACAGGGGAATGAAGAGCAGAATAAGCAGAGGATTCAGCACTTGCAGCTGATCGGGCTTAATGTCCCAGGAGCCCATGTCGCCGTCCATTCGTGTGGCCTGGAAGGTCCATCGGGAGCCCTGCTGATCGAACAGTGCCCAGAACACGGGCAGCGGCAGATATAAGAACAGGACACGCATCAGCACCTTGACATCGTCGATAAGCTTTCGATCGTACTTGACATCGGCATAGTCCAGCCAATGCTCGCGGGGATTTGTCTTCTTCTCCTTACACTTGGTCGTCAGAGCGGTCCAGATGGTGCTGCTTACCAAAACAACCATATTGCCAGCCGGTGGCTTCATCTTGTACAGCGAACGGCCCAGCACAAAGATAATCACAGAGATTATCATGAGGACGGCGGGTACACCAAAGGCCAGGGATAGCAGTTGATGTCATCGAAGCAGGAGACATCCTCACGCAGAATCGGAGTGACAGTGGTGGAGATCAGCGAACCGGCATTGATCGAAAAGTAGAAGAGCGAGAAGAACGAGGTGATTTGCTTCACCTGCTCTGGCACCTTGAACTGATCGCCGCCGAAGGCCGACACACACGGTTTAATGCCACCGGATCCGAGGGCTATAAGGGCCAAACCCAGCATCGTAAACGTCTCCACCGGCAGGTTAAGCGGACCAATTGCACCAAGAGTCAGCAGGATCGATCCGCATATATACACCATTGATAGATAAAGGATCGTTTTGAATTTGCCCAGCCAGGAGTCCGAAATAATGGCACCAAACACGCACAGGAAGTAAACAAACATGGTAAAGATGTGGAAGACCACGGTGGCGGTGTCATCGGAATAGCCCAGAACTCGACTCAGATACAGGACCAAAACAGCTGGAAGGATAAAAAGAGTACGGTTTAGTCCAGGATTCAGCAAGGAATTCATTCAGACTCACTTCTCATGCCGTAGTAGTTGAAGCGCTCGCAGAACTCGTTACTGATGATGAAGAACACGGACTTGGGGTAGGGCAGTTTCTGGAGATGATAAATTTAAAAAACCAAAGAGGATAAGATAAACCCTTGGTTAAGTGAGCACCTGAGAACTCACCTTCTGCTGACCCTCAGCCTCGGATACGTTCTTGAATCCATCGTCAGCCTCCTGTAGTTCCTTGCCATTCTTCTCCAGTTCCTTGCCGTTTTTCTGTGACACTTCTGGCAACTTCTTGGCCTCCACCAGAGCCTTGCCATTGGTCTCAGCCAAGGGCTTATCAGCAACAACCTCAGCTGTAGAGTCCTCCGAAATGGATGCAGGAGCTGGTACGATATCCTGCACGGCGGCTACATCATTGGACGCGCTGACTTCTGCGGCAGCGGGAGCAGGATCATCTGATGTTGAATCCGCAGGAGCAGATGCCACTGGCTCAGCCGTGGGTCTTATTTCTGCGGGACGAGAGACAAGAACGAATCAGACAATAGTTCTAGGATTTAAAATTCACAAATGTAGGAGGATATCCCCACCGAGAAGGGGCACTTCCTCCGCTGGCAGTTCCATTTCGTCTGTCAACGCCACAGATACAAAACTGATCTGGTAAATGATCTCGAGATGCCGACATTTCATCAGAATGGGTAAACTGAGAACCAAAAGACGACAGACTTTGTGGCCTTGTGCTTGACACCTCTGACGCAGATAAGGACTGCTCTATATTTGGCTCCTAACCAAAGCCTTTTAGCCCAGAACGTGGGCGTGTGAATTCGGTGGCCAGGCATAAATTTACAAGCATTAACTGGATAACGCTGGAGGTGAGCGTGTAGTTTACGAGCCCAGTCGGATAGATAACCCAACTGGAGAAGCCAACTCTCTTGTCACAAGTATGGCTCTCCACTCCATAAATCATCAGCATCATAATGATGAGCCTGGGATGCGCTTAAATGGTCATGTCCATGCCCCATCGAATTGTAATTGCAGTCATGGCCAACTACATCGAGGGATTCCGAACCAGGAAACATGTCTGGGATTGATCAAATAACCCAAATGACGACAGCCTTATCTGACCCTAGACCCGATCCAGAATCGGTTTCGGGGACTAATCCATCGATGCCTTATCAGCGGTTTTATGGCGACCATTAGTGGCAGTAATGTGAGGCCATCATAAAGCAGGGAAACAACGACATTGCACGCACCACTCACATCAAACATCCATTAACATAAAAGGTCTTATCATAGGTACGGACGACATGTACAGCATTGATCCGCTGCGGTTTCTGTTTGAAGTCAGAAGTTAGCCCAATCTCCTACTCAATAGTTCCGAGTACTCAAACGCTCATTCATTTCATTCATGGTACTTGGTACTTAAGTGAGGTGGGATCTGTGTCAATGTCGCTGCACAGGAGAGTACCTATTGTCACGATCTTGGGTGTAAGTGCCAAATAAGTAATTAGATAAGACAGCTGTGTGGAGGCGAAAGTAGAGGAGTGTTCTCGGTTTCACTTTCATGGGATTTCATTTCCAGCTTTTACATTAAATTAATGCTTTGCTACTTGATTGATTGATTGATTTTCAAAATAAGTTTGATAGAGAGCCTCAAGAGTTGGCTAATATCTTATGGATAAAGAAAATATCTTATATCTTAAGGAATGTAAATTTAACTCAAAGATTAAAGAAAAGCAAAAGCAAGAAGGTTAAAGACTAAGACTAGAACCCATTGAAAATAATTTATAATATAAAACATAACTTTTCAGAAAATGTTATATTGCCATAGTGACATGTTAAGGCATGTTAGGACATGTTCGTTTTTGAAAACTTTTGCTTACGTGCTTATTTGTACAGGAAATACTTTAGCTAAATGATATGACGCATAGCCTAGCGCTATCGCTAAACCTTCTTAGTCGATTGTAAATTAGACCCATTTGGGATATACAGCTTGGTTCCAAAAAACCTAAGCTGATTTATAAGCCGATATTGTTGGTATGATAAGAATTTCTAAAGAAGGACGAGCTACTCACGATTTTTTAATTACAAATGCTTGGAGTCTGTCTTCACAAAATGGAATTGTATCTGTTAGATAAAAGTGTGTAGCTATCTTTTGTGTTTTTATTTCAGTAGCGCAACTTTGATTGCCTTGTTCCGTTTGCAAAACTACATTCGATAGTGAATTCTGGAACTCAGATGGAATGCCGCAAAACAGAAAATGAAAAATTACATGGTAATTGTTGAGCGTTTTGGGGGAATACCAAAAGCCAAACCCAATCGCATTTGCCTCGCAATCGCAGTGCTTTTTTAGCCCGATTTAGTCATAGTCAACACCCGTTGCCTGGCCTGATGAATATGCAAATGAGGCTGTGGCTGGCATTGAAATGCAGTATCGTAATTATACAAAAAAAATATGTATATCAAATCAAATGGGTTGTACACAAGCTAGGTCGCCCCCAAATTTGGCACTCCACGCATTTGGGCCACCAACTCAAGTGGCAAAAAAAATGGAAAAGGAAAAGGGGGGGCAAGGTGCTAAACCCATCCACTTGATGGCTCTTATCGGTGGAGATTAGATTCGCGTAGTGCACACGAATCGAGAATCAAGAATCAAGAATCGGGAGAGTCCCTTCTCCCCCGCTAAAGCCTCTTGCCAACAAGTGTCCCACAGATATGGGTTAATCTTTACAGCTTGAAACGTTGTTACCCAACGGCCTAAATATAAATTAAGTTTGCTTGTCGAACAATAAATTAAACAAATGCTAGGCGGCACTTTTATTTCGAGGTAAATCCCTCTGGCATTTCCTTGAAATGTTTAGGAATTTTATTCAAGACTTGAGAGGAGATTTATCAATTAAATTCCATTATAATAAAAAAATGCAATTCATTCACTCGTCGATATTTTGTGGCAATTAAAATTAGACGCAATAAAATAATTAAAGTCACAACTACTATATTATAGAGGTTTTTGCTTTCGAAATGGAAAGTAAATATTGGCTTATGACTTTGCCAAAAGTTGGAAAATATAGGCCATAGGTCTCTCTCCCCCTATTCAGTTCAGTGATTTGTATAATTATGACTATATGAATATTATTATAACTAGTAATTATTTAGAGTAATACCAATTTCTTTATCCGTCATTTTTTTTTGGCTTGTCGTTGAGTCCGTAGTTTGCTTTACATCCGTTACGCGTCACTTGAAATCGAAGAGAAATATTTTGTTTATGACATTTATTTTTTGTGAAAATAATTATTGTACAAAGGCGACGACGGGCGGGCGAACGAGTTGCATAAACATTTCGAACTCCAAAAAGAAAACATATTTATTGTGTTTTTTATTTGCATTGTGAAACAACAGGTACATATAGAGTGTATATGTATGTTGGTACGTGCTTGGCAAAGACAAAACAGAAATAATCCTGGGACAACAAAGCGGTCAGTAACATCTGATGTATTGTGTTTTGAATACCAGGTTGATGAAATTTACTTTTATAATTATTAAAAGTATTGAAAATATGTTGTAAAGGTAGTTTTAATTTATAGAACAAAGTATAGTAAAAATTGAGGAAGAGTACTATCAATTTTTTAAATTAAAAATAAAAGAAAATTATGTATCCTAGCTTTTTCGTTAAAAAATTTTTATAGAGTTGAAATTAAAGGTTCCTTAATTAATTTTAAATTGTTTCTTTTTAGAAACATTTAAAACTTGGTTTATTTTGTCATACAATTCGATTTTTACCACCAAAAAAAAAAATCCCTTTTAAAATAACATTGAAAACATAGTTTTTTTCCAGCTTTTTTAATAATTCTCTTAACCTTTCTGTGTATTTTTTCATAAATAACAAACTAAAAAAAGACCCTCTTTATCAATTTAAAATTCATATTTCCTTATGGAAAACTACGATTATTTTCTAGCTTTTCAAATAATTCTTTATTCTCTTTCTATGTTCTATTTATATTAAAATTTTTAATCAGAAGCTTTTTTAACCATGTGAAGGAGTTATTTTCGAGCGTACAAATCATATATATTCTTGATCAGCATCAACAGCCGAATCGATCTAGCTATGTCCGACAAAACCTCATTTTTTTTTTCGAAATTTTTAAAATTTTTTAAGGGGTTACATCTATAAAATTTTGAAAAATTTGTCGAACATTTTAAAGTTTTAAAAGGAGTAGGCAGATTTATTAACCTTATAAAAACTAACATAGGGCAGCTTTCCGAATTGAAATTAATGCATTTTTGGCTTAGTAATGAAGTTTTTAAACTTTGATTTTGAAAAAAAATGTGTATTTAAATATATTGGATATCCTATATATCCTATATTTCAAATGCAAACTGAAACGGTTTAAAAACTTCGATTTCCCTAAATTAGTTTCCTTTCTTGTTTTTTTTCCGTCTTTCCAATACAAAAACGATTTTTCTAAGCCTTTTCAGAGCTTGTTATAGTTTTATAAATTGAATAAGCAAATTATACAAAATTCCTCTGATAAAACAACACTTGTAGTTTTACATTTTTCAGTTTTAATGGAACAACTGTTCTGCTTATTATTTTTCGTTTTTTTTTTTAACTGAAGAAAGTACTTTTAACGGCTTTTGTTGACAGGTTTTTTTTGATTAAAGTTTTTCTGTTTTCTCTTGCCAAGTTTGGGATCGGAGCACGGATTCTTTTTGGCGTGTCATTACTCTCGCTCGCGTATTACCGTCTATGCTTTTATGTCGCGCACTCTCTCGTAACTCACATTAAAACATTGAAAACCAAAAACAGCAAAAAAATATATGTGTATATGTGCGTGTGTGTGGAACGGAGACGACAGATCGATCGGCTTTGATCGATTTAAAGCGCGCCTAAAGTCCGCCAGCGGCGATCAAAGACTGAAGTCGATTGTCGGGGACTAGAAACCGTTAACGGCTCTGCTGCGCTCTGCCCTGCCCTCTGCCTGCGGCGACTGCACGCGTGCTGCTGCTGCCGCCAGCGTCGACGGCGACGTCTACACTTGAAAGAATGACAAAAAAGCGTTAAGTTAACAGCGATAAGTGAAAAGCGATAAGCCTAATCGTAATCGCAGCGCTCAAATGTTATCGACAGCGTTTGGAAGTATTTACGGCCCCGGTGTTCGCTTACCCACAATGAATGGATCTGCGCCCCTTGCCTGTTATTTATGGCCATCTAGCCGAATTCCTTCTGCCCTTTTTTTGTTACCATCACACTGGGATAAAAATTGTATCTGTAATTGGAAAAAATGTCACTGGAACTGGGATTAGAGAGTAAAAGTAAGATACTGCTTTTGGGAGTCTGGAGATATCTTCTTGACGCTTTGCCTGCAATGTTCCAGTGTTTTACTCAGTTGGGAATGAAAGAGTTAACCCAAAATGATTCAGTTAGTAGCGAATGAGAAAACTAGTATATTTTCTTTTTGGTTAAAATTAGAAACATGTTATATAACATTATAACATTTTATATTCTGTAAAATGAAAGTGAACTAACATTGAGACCCCGAAATTTCAGAGAAAATCCTTCATAACTCAGTCAAAAATTCGTTAATTTACAATCGGAAAGAGTTCTTATTTTAGTTTTTAATAGGTTAATAAATCTGCAT